TCTAGTGACAATTTTTTAAATTATTGTGCCAATTTATAATTAATCAAATGGTTTTATATAAATGTCAAGATTCAATAAATTTTGTTTGTTTTCACACAAAAAATAAAAATTAATTGTACGGTTAGTCTACAAACCTTATCTTGTCTCTAACATAATCTGGTACAATTTGGACCATGATAAACGTTATATTTCGGAAAGATATTTTAAAAACCATCGTATTGTTAAATGTTTTTCCTCTTTTTACCTAATGACCGATTTAATATAAAATAAAAGACGTTTCTTGTCAACCATATAACGATATAAGACCAATTTTGGTAAATTTTAATAATGAATTTCACAAAAATATAAATTTTGAACTGCTGTTTAAAACGTTTACAAAATAACATATTTTTGTTTTATTTAACACTTAAAACTTAAAATAATGCTTTAGTTTTTCGAATTACGAGTTCTTACTGATATATTAATTCATTAATTCAAGTTTTGATGTATTTTCTTTTTTGGTTCGTGTATTTTTTTATTAATTAACTTAAAAAACATAAATTATTAAATAAACAAGAGATTTTAATTCCGCTTAAATTTATTTTCAACTTTTTGTAATTTTAATATAATTATAAAATATAAATCTTTAAATATAACAACGAAAGTTAAACATAGAAATTTGTTTAAAGACAACAACACGTGAACTTTTATATGCGTTCAAATGATTTTTAAATACGTTTAAAAGCATTGTTTATTGTAAATAACGTTATTCTATTTGAAAATAATATTCAAATTTGTACATTTTTGAAACACATATTTTTTAATAATCTTAATGTTCTTTGGTATAAATACATTTGTCAGACAATCACAATAAGAAAAAGAGTTATTTCGAATTTCGACGAGTTTTGTGTTAAATGTTATATTTGAAAGTTTGTTGCAGTGGTCAAAGGAGTATTCACCAATACACGTTGTATTATCAGGCACACTTAATACCATCAAATTTTTACATTCTATAAATGAAAGTGTTTCGAGCTTTTCTACTGTTGGTGGGAGATTTATTTCACAGAGTGAAGAACAGTACGCAAAACAACTTTTTCCAATAAATCGCAAGTTTTTGTTAAACACTATTATACTAAATGAAATGCATTGATTAAAACAATAATCATTGAGATGTGTGACACTCTCCGATATTTTAATAGTTTGAAGACTCGAGCATTTTGAGAAGCAATCACTACATAAAACTCATAGAAATCAGGAAGCTCAACTTCTACAAGTGATTCACAACAATTGAAACAACACCCACCCAAGTAACTCTTTGGTTGATTATAATTATTAATGTTTACTTTACGTGAGTTGTTTTATTATAGTATTATAGAATAATTATTTTATTAATAATAATTTAATTGTTATAAAAATATAGTGTTTATACACAAACCATTTATAATATCAGATTGTGCTGTAGAATGATAACGTGTTTGAAATGGTAAAAATACTCTTCTCAGAGTTCGACACATTGAAAATGCTCCAGGTTCTATTTTCATCAGATTTGTTGTGATTTGGAGAGAAGTTAGTGTTGAACAACCTTCGAAACACCTTTCATGTATTTGTGTGACGTTTTTGGGAAGAATTATTAAGTCGATGGAATTTAATGACCGAAAAGTATCAACTCCAAGTGATGCAACTTCTTTTGGAATTGTTGATCCATATTTTAGTCTGTCATTCTTAGTGAATGTAACATCTTTAAATATGAATTTTGAATTTTTGTTTATCACAAAAGTGTTATAATCGACATTGTACCACACTACTATTTTGAAAAATATGTATTTATTTCGATTTTTAGATTTACTAGTAATTTCAACTGGTTTCTGAAAATCGTTACCAAAGGTCTCTTCTTTTGTATTCCAAATGTTTAATGTCTCAATGTCCACAAAGTACTTTATTGATGTTGTGTCGAGTGGTATTGGGTTGAAGCGAAAAATTTAAATGGTACCTCTGAATTTAGTATTCACCAATTCAAGTGAAACGAAGTCATTAATGGTTTTAAAATATTTCGAAACTATCATCATGTGATATCCGTCTTTTATAACCATTTTTTATTTTTTTGTAGTTACACAAAACTTATTTATTAGTATTTGTTGTTGTTTAAAATACAATAAAAAATAATAAATTATGTAAGTTATTTTTTTAAAAAACCAACTTTAACGAACATAACATAATATAATCTTAACATTCATCAAAACCAATTATTAAATGATCATGAAAGTTTTAAACACAAAAACATGATTTTTTTGATTTACATAAATATCATAATTCAGATACTATTATGTTAATAAAATAATATTTTGTTATATTATATTATAATTTAACTATATATTTTAACATCTGAGTCTTTTGAAATTATACAAAAATGTTAATAATAATAGTATAGCGATAGTATAAAAGTATTTCAAGTTTTTTTCAAATTATAATTATTATATTTACTATAAAAATAGTTTCAAGTAACTAATAATAAGAAATAAAACAAAGATGTCAACACACTACCTTCTTAGTTGTGAAAGAAATAGCACTTCGTAGTGATATTCGTACATTTCTCAATATAACAGAAACATGTTCCACATACTCTCAATTACAGAACGATGACACAATATATAAAACTCTTACCAACAAACAAGCTTTTGATAGAAATTCGTTTATTACTTTTTATACACTTCAAAACATCAATAATGCAGCACAAATATTAAACACGGTGTGCAGAAGCAAAAAATGGACTATTTATTTTAAAAAGCAGTTACACACACTCTTATTTTTATATTTTTTTTAAATCACATAGTAGATATATTCACGTTTTCATGAATACTTTTTTATACTTTCTCGCAGTTCTCGTGAATTTTCTACATATTGGAGCAACTGCTTTATTTCCATTAGTTGTTTTTATAACAACGGTCTTGTTTGTTATATACTCATTTGACATATTTTCTTTATCATATGTTTGACGACCACTTTAAGTACATTTAGTTGTGAATTTTCTTTCGTGTGGTTTTCTTGTGAATTTTTGTGAGAAAAAAGACGAAGAATATCTTCCCATTGATGCGAAACAAAATACAACAAAACCAACGAGAGTTCGTATTTATTTTCATTGTTTTTCGTTGTGTAAGTCCTTTTTAATGTGTACAGGTGTCATCACTTTAATTATTCTTTTATTTATGAAACTGATAAGACCTGATATTTTTGGATACACAAGTGGTATCGTTTTCATTTCTTTAATATTTGTCCTAATTGTAATTGGAGAGTTGATCAGTGGATGTTGCTGGTTGGCTATATTCCTTATGTTCATATTCTGAATCAATGGAGGCGAAAATAATGATACTATTTTTGGGAAAAATTACAAAGAAAAGGGTATTCCGGGTGTTTTGAATCATTTTATGTGTCGGTTGTTGGAATTGTTTCGTTCGCACTTTTATTGACAACTTTGCGTTTGTGTTATGTTGTGAAATTTAATAAGGATAATTTGAAAATGGATTATATGAAGGCGTTTATTCCACTCGTTGTTGGTGTTGTATTTACTTATTTATCTAGCTTTTTTAATGGAATTAAAGATGGAAATAAATGTACTTTGTTGTGTCCAGATTGTTGTCTGTGGATGGGGTGTTTCTGTGGAATTCACAAAAGAGATGAAGTTTTAACCAAAGAATCAAATTATTATTACCAATTTGATTAATTTATGTTTAAGTAAAAACTCATTATTTGTATTTTATAATAAATTACAATTAGGTATATATTTTAAAACAATTAAGAAGTTTTTTTGTAAAATCATGCTTTTAAACATTTTGTTTTTTTTACCTTAGTTAAGTTGTAAAAATGTCTAAATATTCAAAATGAATTACAAATAATTGTTCAATATTATATTATTTCCATAATCTGCAAAAAGTAAAACAATTAAAGTATAAAAACATTAAAACATTATATATTTAAATTTATACAAAATGTTATGAAAATAAAGATTAAAAATATAGGAAATAAAAAATATCCTATTTAAACTTTTTATCATAAACTATAAAATATAATATATGTAAGGAAATAATACAATTGGATAAATAATCATAAAAAACTCATAAAAATAGAATTCAAAAAATAAATATGACAAATTAGTCAGCATGATGGAATTAAATAAAAATATATTCATTCTGAATAAATTTGCGATTTTGAATGTAAATTAAAAAAGGAGACTTGAATTGTAATCGTCAACGGGATTGAAACTCAAAGACGAAAGATTATAAAAAGAAAATATAAAAGATGAAAATTACATCAACACAGCAATAGTAAAAAGATGAAAATTACATCAACAAATATATTTTTTTTATTCTATTTTTTAATTTTTTTTATTAATTATTTAATTTAACATCAATTTTTAATTAATTATAATTAATCTAATATTCAAATTTATTATTCTTTATTTATTTATTTAATATTAAAAATATAATATTGTAGTAATTTTATAATTTAATAATTTTTTTCTATATTGGTGACATTTTTCTTTACAAAAAGAATTGAACATATTTTTTAAATTTACAATTTTAACAATAATATAATTAGTAGCATTTCGAATTTTTTTTCACAAAAATTAAATACAATAAAAATCATTTTAAGTTAATTATTATTTTACTTATTTTATATTATAATTTTTATGAACAAATATGATTTTGTTTATATATGTTGTTGAATTAAGTAATTTAACATTTAAATTACGAAAAATTATCACATACATCTTTTGTTTGTCATAAATAATACACAAAATGTGTAAAAATAATATTTTCTTTTTTTAATTATATTAGTAAACAAATTAAATGTTCATCATTTTTATTATTAAATACAAAATGAGGATTTTTTATTTAAAAAACAGAAAAGTTTACATTTCTCAACATTTTAAAAGAAAAAAAACGAATTAATTAATAAACTTGATAATTAAAAAGTTATTAATTGGTTTCTTTTTTTAATATTTTGTTATATTTCATCTAAACTTTTTCTATTAAATTCAAATATGTCTTTAACTCCATAATTGTCCTTCTGTATTATTTTTTCTTATATTTTTTATTAAATATTAAAATCAATTAATAAAAAAATCATAAAAATTTCATTTTTAATATCTCCAATCGGAGATTTTGACATTTATAACAAAGAGACACATCAATTGAAATATCACTTCAATGGAAACAATAACAAAAGCCTTAAGGATTAACCCCCGTCGTTCTTCTGACAAATCTCTCTACTCAAAACGCGATCTTGAGAAACCCACCTTCCCGACTAAGAACAATACAACAAAGCCAAAAGTGTATATTCAAAAAGTGACTGACGAGAAAGCACTTGCCAAACAACGAAAAGATAAAAAGAGCACTTCAGTCACTGTAAAACTTTTGTCACAACGCAGAAAACGGATAAGTCGAGGTGCAACTGTTATCAACGCAGAGATTATAAACTTAACCCAATCAAAGGGTCTTCCACCTGAGAGACTCACGAAAGCCATTGAGTCCGAACTTCCTGAGTACAACCTTGGGGAGTACTTCTCTGCATTTCCCGAACCACTTTATAATATTCCGAGGAAGTCGCGACACCTTAAGATCAGTGAAGATACTCTTAAAGACCTTAATGAGCGTTTGAAGACTGAAACGTCCAAAGTTGTTCTTTCGTCCACTTCAAAGACGCAAAAAGTGTTTTACGAATTAGTTGACACTGCTGCCGCCATTGGCATTTCGAGAGAACCCATTTTGGTCTCGTTGTTTTATAATTACGGGGTTCTTCCACTCAATAACTTGTCACGCAGAGCAGCTAAGTTCATGAACGACTTCAAGAAGTCCGGAGAACACTTTTTGAAAGACATTCAAAAGAAATTTGAAGCTGAAAAAGACGAGAGAGACTTGAAGATACTCATTCAAAGGTACACTCAAGTGGATGGGAATATTAAGACGATAGAAGCAATTATCAAGTCTTTGAATAACACAATACAACTTTTGAAAGATCCTGATAGTAAGATCTGCGTGATATCTAAAGAAGGATATAAAGAGTTTGTGTATGACGAGGAGTCGATTGAAATGATCAATAAGATCATTCAATTGAAAAATAAACAAATAGAAGAGCTTAAAAGGCAAAATTACGCGTTGGTAGAGCACAACGACGAGTTAAAAAGACTCACGAAGTACAATACACTACATTACATTCTTGTGATGGAAAACAATGAGCCACGTATCACCGACTTGGATATCAAAGCTTCATATTTAGAACACGTGAATAAATCTGAAGTGAAAGTTAAACAAATCGCCAATGAAAAAGAGTACAAGAAAGACGTGTACATCCCCAAAGATATCATTGAAAGGTATTTGCCGAAGTTGAATGGTAAAGTGAGAGACAAAGTTGACGAAGAGTTCATTCCGAAAGTCGACGATGTAAATGCAGCGAAGAAAAGTTCTGGAAAAAAAGTGGTGAGTCAAGAAGCATTGGACATCGCAAAGAAAAATATTTATGAAATCAGTTTTACAGATCCATTCAAATATAAACTCTTTAAAAGAACATTCACTGTATTTGGAAGAGGAAGAATAGACAAAGTGCCTTTTAAGAAAGCAAACTACCCACGAAGAGTCGAAAAGTACTTTGGCGCTCTTGTGATGAAAAATGCGAAAAAAATTTATTTAAAAAAGATTGAAGAAAACTCCACCGAATTGAAATTTATTCGCCAAGAGGATGTTATTGTAGCAACTAATAACATCACAACGAAAATGTTTGATATAACAAGAGAGAACTTGAGGACTTTAATAAGGACGTTGTTCCAAGATGTTAATCATAGAAATATCAAGGCCAAAACGTTACACATTTCTGGGTACGAAATTGTAGAAAACGTCTATGATCATTATTCATAAACAGAAATCACTGAGAGAATGGAAAACAATACTATAGAACAAGTTTTAAGAGACGAGAGAGAAATACTTTATAGAAAACAAATGAACGAATTGAGTCGACAAGCTACAAAGAAAATCACATTAAAAGAGACTTTGAAAAAACAGGAGTCATTTGAATATGATGATAGTGATGACGATGATGACGACTTCTCTTTTTCAGAAGATTAATAAATAAATCAATAATTTGAGTATTAATTTTTGGGTTGTAAAGTAATATGTTTATACGTTTAACTTTGTTTGAACTTAAGTACAGGAATTTAATTGAAAGTAAACTGTTTTTCAAAAGTCTGTACTGAGGTGTCCCGATTTTTTGCATTTATTTTGTTTATTATTTTTGGGAATCATTTTTTTGTAATAAATTCGCTTATTTTTTTCCAAGTAAAAAAAAGAAAAACAGTCTTCAAAAAATATTTTTTTAACTTGAATAATTTTTAAGCATTGTAGTATATAAATAGTGCCGATTTCGGACACCCTTCGGGAATCCTGTCTTCATGATTTCGTCGCTTCGCTCCTTTATTTAGGTTTAATTATTTTAGGGTTATTTTATTAGTTATTTTAAAGTGATATTTTTATTTTTTCTTATCTTAAATGACAACTACCACGGTCTCCAGTTTTAGGGGGACCGAACACATAGGTTTGGGGTTTATTTTCTCAAAATCGTCGAGAAAACAAAAGAAAAATAAAAACAAGAGACAAAAGAAAAATAATAATTTTTATGATTTTCTTTTTTATAACACAATTTTTTTTTGGTTTAGTAAAAAAGTGAGCAAAGCAAAATGTTGATTCTCTGATAACATAATATTGAGGGGGAAAATGTTATTTGTATGATAACTAAAAATAAAAAACAACAAAATTGATGAAGGGAATCGGGGCAGTGTTGAAAAAATGGAATTTAAACATTTATTATAATAAGATCATTCGACGTAAAATTTGAGGAAAGAAATAACAAATTCAAATTGTGAATAGAGTTAAAACAAAGATAGTTTAAAATTATTAAAATAAATAGAATTGATTACTATAACTTTTATTGTTTTATTGTGTAAATTGCTATAAGTTCATTTTATTTAGCACAAATCGAAATTATTATTATTGATTAACATATTATTATTATTATAATTTTAAAAATAATTCAAACCTAACCCACCATAAGCACAATTCAATTACTCTTTATTATTTTTTCATCCTTTTGAATTTAATTATCATTGATTTTCAAAAATTATGGGTTTATATATTATTAAACTATAATAAAACAATAAAAGTATTAGACTATGATATATCAAATTATATTAAAATCCAAATCATATTATTGTAAATAAAAATGCGTGTTTGTTTATCCAAAAATGCATTTATTGTTACATTTCGACTTTATTGAAACAAACAAGTACCATTTTTTGTGTATTGTGTGGCATTGCTTGGTAATTGATTATTCCCGATTTTATATTTAAAAAAAATACCATATTGTTTTATATCCTATTGTGCCCGATAAACAAAACAAAAGATTAATGATGATAATAACTATTTTTCACTCCATTAAAAAGTTACATAAAATGCGCTTATATAATATCATTATTTTTGTAAAACATTTTTTCACAAAAATAATTGTATAAATTATTACCCAAAAATGTTTGATAGATGGTTTTCTTTTTTACATTTCACAAGACAATATCAACATTTCCGATTTTCTGGGACAAAAAACAAAAACAACATCTCAAAAATGTAATAATTATTAAAAAGTGTTTAATTTAACAAAGATTATTTTTAAAAAAGCACATTTATTTCGAATTGTGTTGTTGTGACAAAACTAAATATTAATCACCATATTATGTCTCTTTTGGAATCATAGATTGTTTCTCATTTGTAATTGATCAAATCCCAAAATATTAGTATAATCTTGGCCAAATCAAACATAATATTGTATAGTATATTTACTAAAAATATAGTATTAAATTTCACTTTAAAAAATAATAATTTTTTATAGGTTTTGTCCATTCTCTCGTTTTTCCCATTGAAAAATGTAAAATTTTTTTAATTATTCACCAAATTATCATTTTGCCTCAAATTGCTTATTATTTTGCCATTTCTTTTATTCCTTTACAATTTTCCATAATCTTTATACTCTTTTTTTTTCTTGTTTTCCCCGAAAAAATAGAGAAAAAAAGTAACTTTAATCAATTTCTTACTAATGATTATTAAGAAATAAACCAAATTTTATTGAATTTTGGAAAACCTAAGTGTTCGACCTCCCCCCATTTCTGGAGACCGTGCAACTACACAAGAATACTTGAAAAAGAATTTTCACAAATTTATTAAAACTTAAATTCGAAAAAATCCAAAATAAATTTTGGATTGTTTCTAAATTAAAGATGGAATTATTAAAGCGGCATCTACTAAAATTTAAAATAAAGAATGTAGAAAAGAATTATTGAAAAAGATATTGAATCCAGAAATGTTTATCTTGATTATAAAGAAAAATTAGAACAACACGTAGCGGCGCCTTTAGCGCAACCATTTTTAGAAATGTGTTTGATAAATTAAATAAAACTGATAAACAAACTTTTGGATTAATAAATAAAAAAACAACATTAATTAAAGATTTAGATGATGAAAAAGAACTTAATAACAAGAATTTAAAATGGTGTTTAAAACATAATACTGAAAAGGATGATGAAGCAATATCTCAAGAATATTTTAATTATGTTAATGATCAACTTAAGAATGAAAGAGAAAACAAAAATTATGATAATATCAAAAATAATTTATAATGGAGTTTAAATAATAATATTGAACAAATAGATGAAGATGAAAACAGTAATCAAATTTATGATGAATATGAACCATACAAAAGATCAATAAATGATAATGAATATAAAACAGAAGGTGTAACATATGACGTAGAAAATAATATAATTCATGCTGATCTTAATTGTGGATTTGAAGAAAAATTAATATAAATTGGTATGATTAGACAGTTCTTTAATCAATTAATTGAAAAACTGGATTCAACAGCAAATTTAGTTTATAAATATAGATTTACTGATACCACTTGGAAGACATATATGTTAAATTCTAAAGAAAAAATAGATGAATTTCTTAAATCGATATCAAACGAAACTCTTGGATTATATAATCAATCTGAAATTGAAAACAGTTCAGATTCTGCATTTTATGTTCAACATGAAGTTCCAGAACCTTAATTATTACAGAATTAATAATTACAGAATATGATTATAAAAATGAAATTAATGAATATCGAAATAATGGTGCTGCATTCTTTGCTTATTATTATACTGAAGAATTTAAATATTTTTCTAAATATTTAAAAATGGCTCAAATATTTGATTCTCTTAGTGTTGAAAACAAAATTAGACCTGAATTAAATAATAATTGTTTGATATATGCTTTACAACAAGCTAAAATAGATGAGAAAATTATTGATTTATATTGTGTTCATTGTTATTCAAGATATCAGAAAATTAAATTGATAGATGAAGTTTCAAAATCATGTAATATTAGAATTCAAATAAAACGTGAAAAATTAAAGCGTAAAGATCATACTAATACAATAATGAAATATATAGGTTCAGATAATGAAGAAGGTACTGAAATTAGTATGTGTTTAT